AAGACACAACATGACTTCAAAGAGACACAACATGACTACAAAGAGACAACATGACTTCAAAGACACACAAGATGACTTCAAAGAGACACAACATGACTTCAAAGAGACACAACATGACTACAAAGACACAACATGACTTCAAAGAGACACAACATGACTACAAAGAGACAACATGACTTCAAAGACACACAAGATGACTACAAAGACACAAAATGACTTCAAAGAGACACAACATGACTTCAAAGAGACACAACATGACTACAAAGACACAACATGACTACAAAGAGACACAAAATGACTTCAAAGAGACACAACATGACTACAAAGACACAACATGACTTCAAAGAGACACAAAATGACTTCAAAGAGACACAACATGACTACAAAGACACACAAGATGACTTCAAAGAGACACAACATGACTACAAAGACACACAAGATGACTACAAAGACACAAAATGACTACAAAGACACACAAGATGACTTCAAAGAGACACAAAATGACTTCAAAGACACACAAGATGACTACAAAGACACAAAATGACTTCAAAGAGACACAACATGACTTCAAAGAGACACAACATGACTACAAAGAGACACAACATGACTACAAAGACACACAAGATGACTTCAAAGAGACACAAAATGACTTCAAAGAGACACAACATGACTACAAAGAGACAACATGACTTCAAAGACACACAAGATGACTTCAAAGACACACAAGATGACTACAAAGACACAAAATGACTTCAAAGAGACACAACATGACTACAAAGAGACACAACATGACTACAAAGACACAACATGACTTCAAAGAGACACAACATGACTTCATAGAGACACAACATGACTTCAAAGAGACACAACATGACTTCAAAGACACACAACATGACTACAAAGAGACACAACATGACTTCATAGAGACACAACATGACTTCATAGAGACACAACATGACTTCAAAGAGACACAACATGACTTCAAAGAGACACAACATGACTTCATAGAGACACAACATGACTTCAGAGAGACACAACATGACTTCAAAGAGACACAACATGACTTCAAAGAGACACAACATGACTTCAAAGAGACACAACATGACTTCATAGAGACACAACATGACTTCATAGAGACACAACATGACTTCAAAGAGACACAACATGACTTCAAAGAGACACAACATGACTTCAAAGAGACACAACATGACTACAAAGAGACACAACATGACTTCAAAGAGACACAACATGACTTCATAGAGACACAACATGACTTCAAAGAGACACAACATGACTTCAAAGAGACACAACATGACTACAAAGAGACACAACATGACTACAAAGAGACACAACATGACTTCAAAGAGACACAACATGACTTCATAGAGACACAACATGACTTCAAAGAGACACAACATGACTTCAAAGAGACACAACATGACTACAAAGAGACACAAAATGACTTCAAAGAGACACAACATGACTTCATAGAGACACAACATGACTTCAAAGAGACACAACATGACTTCATAGAGACACAAAATGACTTCAAAGACACACAAAATGACTTCAAAGACACACAAGATGACTTCAAAGAGGCACAACATGACTTCAGAGAGACACAACATGACTTCGGAGAGACACAACATGACTTCAAAGAGACACAACATGACTTCAAAGAGACACAAAATGACTTCAAAGAGACACAACATGACTACAAAGACACACAAGATGACTACAAAGACACAAAATGACTACAAAGACACACAAGATGACTTCAAAGAGACACAAAATGACTTCAAAGACACACAAGATGACTACAAAGACACAAAATGACTTCAAAGAGACACAACATGACTTCAAAGAGACACAACATGACTACAAAGAGACACAACATGACTACAAAGACACACAAGATGACTTCAAAGAGACACAAAATGACTTCAAAGAGACACAACATGACTACAAAGAGACAACATGACTTCAAAGACACACAAGATGACTTCAAAGACACACAAGATGACTACAAAGACACAAAATGACTTCAAAGAGACACAACATGACTACAAAGAGACACAACATGACTACAAAGACACAACATGACTTCAAAGAGACACAACATGACTTCATAGAGACACAACATGACTTCAAAGAGACACAACATGACTTCAAAGACACACAACATGACTACAAAGAGACACAACATGACTTCATAGAGACACAACATGACTTCAGAGAGACACAACATGACTTCAAAGAGACACAACATGACTTCAAAGAGACACAACATGACTTCAAAGAGACACAACATGACTTCATAGAGACACAACATGACTTCATAGAGACACAACATGACTTCAAAGAGACACAACATGACTTCAAAGAGACACAACATGACTTCAAAGAGACACAACATGACTACAAAGAGACACAACATGACTTCAAAGAGACACAACATGACTTCATAGAGACACAACATGACTTCAAAGAGACACAACAT